AGTCAGTCCATCATCCGCAAAATGTTTGACAGATTAAATCTACGCAAAACGGAGGCGTCAGTTTTGACAAAGCACCGATGCACACATTAACGCCCTTTGAATTCATTTCCTGGTGCCACCGAGATTTCATTTATCGTGGTTTCAGTTTACCAAAGTGTTCTAAGACGAGAAGTGGTCGAGCTATCTCAGCAGGACCCGAGATGGATGGGTTTAACTGTCTAATTCTGACTATTAGAAGGCAATGAGAGTGAGAACGAGGGGATTTTCGGGCCAAGCATCCTCTTCACAAGGACTCTTTCTGCACCTCCCAAGGCACTCATTTGGGCAATTGTCAAATGCCCACCCAGAACGGTGGCATTAAAACGATTCGCACTAAAAATATCGTCAGCGATTTCGTGGAAATCTCACTAACCTCTTGTAATTGCTGCAAAAATGTCGAATGAATGCTTTGTGAAATTCGTTGGCCTTTTATATGAGGTCGGTAAGTTGGAATAACAAATGTAATCACATTCTTGTACTCTGTCAAAGAACTTGTCTGTGAAATTAAATGACTGCTGTCTCTTCCCACGGTTGACGTTAAAATGTGCTGCGTAATTTCTCTGGTGCCTAGAAAATCCACCGCACGTTAGATTCGGTAAGTAAGCGCATGCTGAAGCAATTCATTCCTTGTTAACTAGTTGTCAGGCTATTAAAGTTTTACGTTCGTTTGTGATGCCTTTTGGGGGAGTCGATGAGACCTAAAGAAAGAACTGTACAGTTAGCAGATGGTAAGAAAATTTGATTGCCTTTGGATTGCATTTTTGTTCGTTGTCAAGCTGTCGCCTTTCTAAACGTGATAGTTGCAACTCTCAAGCACTCCCTGTCAAAAACAAAGCAGCACAACAATAGATCACAATTAGTTTTGTCAGTATTTCAAAAACACCCAAAATTAAAGTTTTCTTATACCACTAAAACGAAAATTGGCAACAGATCTAGCGAGCTTAAAAATGAAGAGAATGAATGCTGCTTGTTGGTTACCGAATCGGCATCGCAGCGGAGCTCATTTATTTGAAAATGTGGAATTATACATCAGCAAATTCTACTCCACTCTTACAGAAAAGCAAACCATCGTCTGCATTTAGGTCTACAATCTTCAGTCAAGTTTCCTCTTTGAAAAAATATGTCTTCTTTAAACGATGCGTTGGCATTATTAAAAGCAAAGCCACGGTTTCTGATGTTGGCTTGCGACTTTGGACTTTTTGCGGTTACTCGTGTCATTGTGCCTCCCCACGTTGGCCAACGTTGAGTTGAAATGGTGATGAGAGCATTGCGGAATGATGATATCAACGCCTCTATAAAAATGAATAGTTGAACTACTGTTGCTAATACAACAGGTTTCGCAGTAGCCACTGCTGTTGCTGCTACTGCTGTCACTGAGGCTAGGACTTCGAGGTTTGGAGTTTAGGCGCTGCACTGAAATTGCTCTGTACTCTGATCTCTGAGGTATGAAGGTATCGCTGGAGGACTCAGAAGATGAGCTCACTGTTCGACGGTGCATTCTTTGTTTGGATTGTTTTTCAGGTCTTCTTACAATTTTCACTGGTCTTAGAGGATTGAATGAACTATTGGAAGAAGAGCTTGAAGTCACTGATTGCTTTGGAATGCCTCTGCGAATTGGAATAGAGTTGGCATTAAATTGGTTGCCATCTTTTTTGTTAAAATTTTTGAGTGGTAATGAGAGTACTCCATTAGTATAACTGGAAGAAGATTCTCCGTCAGTCAAAGTAAGCGCTGTAATGGAGGATGAATCTTCCACAGAAGAGCTCTCTGAGTCATTTAATGCATTCAGATTGTGACGACCGGTGGCAAATTTTGGAGTACTAACAGGTCGCGAAGTCCTAGTCTCAAATGGTAGGTTTCCGGTCTTGCCTAATCCTGATTCTGTCTGGTCTTTGGACTCAGACTTCACCTCAGGTACCTTTTCTTGATTTCGACTATCCAATTCTGCGCTCTCAGGTTTGGTGTATTTTTCCAATATTGAAAAAACTTTCAAAAAGTCCTCCTCTTTTTCGAATTGCAGCGTAAGAAGCGTCGCCTTTTTACCGCTTACACCACACGCCGTTATAGTATTCCTTCCCTCGGATCTTAGAGCTGTGCCCATTTCCGAGAGAAGCAGATCGTGGAGACGGCTGTCGAACGCATCAAAATTGAACACCTTACGTGTTGGGTGAGCCGCTATGCTGGTGTTCATTTCTTTCGTCTTCCTACCCTCCTCCACTCTGACACGGGAGAAGTCACTGGAGATGTCTGCTACACTAACAGTACCTGCCTAAATATGCATCCTTGCTTGCGTGTGCGTGCACTACCCTAATTACTGCTTGACGCAGACCTCTCCAGTAAACCGAAAACAAATTGCCCAATGAGCCTTGTACTTATCACTGTGGTGGCAGTGACGTTGGTCGAGGGTATCATCTCCCTCCCGCTCCAATCACTCGTGGCACCCAAGCAGCCTGTGCGCACTGCAAAGGCAGTGACACTCACGATCAACACCTCCCTTTACCCCTCTACTCTTATCAACTGGCAGTCTGAGCCTTGATCTGTGAGGTTTAGGTGAAGTACTAAGAGCTATAAGCGACTCAGCCCTTGTCACTCACTAATATTCCTATTCTTACGTTTCAAACGGCCAAATCTTGTAAAGAACCAGATCGCTTTTCAGATTATGAATAAAAGACAATGCACGTGGACAACCAAGTGGGCAGGTCTTTGTGTGTTCTCTATCTCCGAATGCTAGTATTTCTTTCAAGGTTTCACAGTCTCCTCATCTTTCCAAAACGACTTTTTCATCTTCGTGCAGCATCATTTAGGCAACCATGTCGTGGTTAAAGAATAAAAGTGCACAATTAACTCACAGATAAATGCCAAGCTACAAGTACAACTGGATGGGTGCAGAAGGAAGCTATCAAGGAGGTCCCATCTTTGTGATAGAGAGCAACGGGCTTCAATTCCGAAGAGGCCAATAACAATGCTTCTGCGTGAGTGACCCCACACAGAGTAAGTGGAGAGCCACATTGTGAAAGGAGGCGCATTTTCATACGAATTTTTCCAATGTGGAGAGAATCCAACGTTTTTAGTTGACAGAAAGATGGACTACAATAAATTACTTTGTTAACTCAAAAATTTTATTCGATGTACAGACCCACATTTACCATTGACAACCTATGGCGTGGTCATTCCACTTCAGAGTGTGCGTCTGCAATGACTTCCTTGTGACAGTCTCACAAAGCTACGCCAGAGACAAATTCCTTTGCACTGGCTACTTCCCAAAGTTAGCTCATGTCTGAAATTAGACGGCTTTTCCCAACTGAAAATGCCAAACTAAGTGAACTGCACCCTTTTAAGGCGAGTCTTGGATTTCTCCTTACACCACACGGTCAAAATGAGCAGTAAAGCGGTAATTTGGAGGCTGACAAACTTAACATGTAGTAAAACGGTAGCGCCACACATCGTTATGCCAATCAAACTACCCCATCAAGGCAATGCAATTACGGCCTTTTCATCCTTACATGCTTTGCACTTCCTTTTGTGTAGATGTTTTTTCTGTAATAAGCATTTCTATAAAACTTTTACTGTTGACTCCATTTAAATTTTCCTGCATCTCACTTTAGAATGTCTCTAATCCTCACAAATCTCGTTTGACCAAATCGAGAATGTATCAGCCGATGCTGTGATTTTGTCTGCTTCAATTTTTGATACTTTGGACGCCTTGTCGTAAGCTTTTGTTTTCTTCGTTTTCTGACCCCAAAGTCGCAACAATCGCTTTGAGTGGACTCAATTTTAGCACTGCGGTGGGATGCTTGGGGTTGGAAGTCTCCCAAGTGATGCGCAGTAATGTGAACAGTTGGAAATCTTATTTTATGGTTTTGAGGTGTTTTTCTAGTGACGGCAAA